AGCCCCTATATAAGTTATTAAGTGCCATTTGCTGCCCAAATTGTTTTTATGACTTTGGTGGCTACATAATGAACATTGATAGGAGGACTACCAAGGCTATTGTTGGCCACAGAATATGTGTTAATTGGTGATTTGTATAATCTAGCATGACAGTTCCCACTTGTATCTTCAGTCAATAAACAGTAAACAGTTACTAAGTAGGTGTCATATGGTAGATTTCTCCTTGCATTTCACTTAATTCTTGAGCATCTATGTGTCTTGGATTTTCTTTTCTCATTCTCTTTCTGTTTAGAATATGAGTATCATAAGGACAGGGTTTGGATTTCCTCTGATCTACTTTAACTTAATGAAGAAAGTTACTAAAACCAATCTGAATCCCTGTTACCACCATATATTTTGTATTCTGATACTTTTGTTTACCATCATATCTTGAATGCATCTTGTTATTAAATATTCTTTAAAAAAACCCGATTTTAATGGTCATGGAGTAGTACTACTTAACAGAAGCTTCTGTGAGAACAGAAATATTCCACACCTGTGCTGTCAAATCTGGTAGCCACTCACCACATATAGCTGTTGAACATGTGAAATGTGGCTACTGCAACCAAGGAACTGAATTTTTAATTTTATTTAATTTCAATAAGTTTTAATTTGAATAGCTAATAGTTACCACATGGGAGAGTGTAGCTGTATAATATTTACCCCACACATGCGAGACTTTTAAATTATTCTCATTTTTTTGCTATTACAAACACCACTGGGATGAGTGTCTTTGTGTAGAAATCCTTGACCATATGCCCAGTCATTTTCTTATTAGAATCTTAGAAGTGGAATTACTGGGGCAAAGAATCCCAACTTATTAGTGGGTTTTGATACATATTACAAATACATTTTCTATAAAGGCTGTACCAATTTATAACATTTAAACCTGTTATCAGAATAACCATGCCCAAAGATATGTATGAAAATACAGGGACATTTTTAATTAATTTTTAAATGGGGGGTACTTTTAAGCCTAAAAACAATGAAATTAATTATAAGGAAAAAAAACCCCAATAACTTGCATTGCATAAAAATATTAAACTGTTGTAAATTTTAAAAACAATGGTCAATAAAAGATTGGGAAATTGTGGTAAATTAAAAAACAAAAAGTCAATAAAAAATTGGTAAGTTGTATGCAGGAGAAAGACAAAGGAGTTGATCATGAATATAAATGAGCTGTTCCAGATCACAAAAAGGTAATCCTACACATGAAAATAAGCAAAGAATGTGAAACAGCCTATGAAGAAGATAAGAGGATTCCCTAAGATCATGGAAAAAGGGTCAAGTATATTAGTATTTAAAGCCATGCAAACAAAAAGAAATACTGTTTTTATCTTCATGGTTTCAAACTGTAAATAGTATAAATTATTAATAATGACACTTTCAATAGCATGCATGTGTAGAACTCAACACAATGATAATATTTGGATTATTTCCCAAAAAAGTATTAAGCAGTTCCAAAATGGGAGGTTCCTGATCAGTCCCAGTGTCCCTCCACTCAGAGCCCATTAGTTACCCACAGGCTGCAGCAGCTTGAAACACTCGTGGCTCCCATGCTTGAGTCACTTCGGGGACTGACTCCAAACCCAGTTCATTCTAGTACACAACCATCTTCTTTCCCGTCTGACAGGACAATGATCAAGAATCTTCTTACTAAGTAATTCCCCAAAAGATAATCCCTGCCCCCAATTATACAGAGAAAACCTATGAGCCATGTGTGGTGGTGCAGGTCTGTAATCCAACTCGGGAGGCTTGAAACAGGAGGATTGCAAGTTTGAGGCCAGCCTCAGCAACTTAGTGAGGCCCTAAGCAATTTAGTGAGATCCTGTCTCAAAATAAAAAAATAAAAAAGGCTGGGGATGTGGCTCAGTGGTTAGGTGCCCTTGAGTTTAATCCTTGGTACAAAAAACAAACAAACAAACAAACCCATGAGATAAATCACCATCTCCTAAATTTATTGTCACTCATAAGATAGTTTAAACACCTCTTTAAAAAAAAATCCTGGAGCATTTTCACATGTTATTTATTATGCTGTGGTTTTATGTGAATTAAGTAATAAGGGGATATTTAATTTTTGTAACCATTTCCATCCCCATCGAATCTATGGTGAAACTGAGGTTTAGCACAGATAGATAATGGGTGGTGAGTGGCAGGGTCAGCCTCATTCTGAGATCCAACTCTGAAGCCTATGAACCAATGGTGCCATGGCACCTCTAG